GTCTTTTGGTCTATTCATGCATTCAACAGATTGGATGAGACCCACCCATATTATGGGTGGCAACCTGCTTTACTCAAATTCTAATGATTGAAATATTACTCTCATCCAAATCACTCTCACAACATCCAGAATAATGCTTGGCCACATTTCTGTACACCATGGCCTAGCCATGTTGACACCTAAAATTAACTACTACACCACACAAGACTTCAACAATCATGGAAGAAATTATGGGGATAGAAAAGTGCTACAGGAGGCCCAAGGTGATTTATCCTAAAAGGCACATCCATTGGTTACATTGCTTCAATTTGAAGGCTCAATGAGAATAATCTAGTAGAAAGAATATGCTACCTTCTTAATAAAGCTCAGATAAATCAAAGCTGACACTGACATAAGGCTCCCGATGAAGAGGTGATTTAGGCCATCTGCCCACCTTGGGAAGCTAAAGTGTTTTCAAAAACAGGTCTTTGAATCTTCTTTTAGTATGTGGAGGTTGATTCATTGCCCATTTCATAAAATCATTCTTCAAACACAATGAAAATTAAATGATGGTGCATTTCATCATTTGCTAGCACCAGCAGGAAATTTAGATTCAGTTTTATTCAGTAATCATATTCACTCTCGTTGCTATATTACCCTATTAAGAGCATTTGAGAGGCAGCATAGCATGGTAGTTAAAAGTACAGATTCTGAAACCAAATCACTGGGAATTTGATTCCAGTTTGCACTTAACAAATGTGTAAGCTTGAGAAAGCTTATTTGGCCTCCCTGTGCTTCAATTTTTCTCATAAAAATGTTGTGTATTAATGTAAAATAAGTAAACATGGAACCATTTAGAACAGAGCCTGACACTTTTGTATAAAATGTGTTTCATATTATCTCCCTTAGAAAATTTTTACTTTGTAAATTGGGCTATGCTTTTTATTTAAAGCAACATCAGAATCTTTTAGAAGAGGAAGGGAAAACATTAACTCGTCTCTCCAGAGACTGAACTCTCATTTTTCCTTGGGTGTAGAGAGAAGAGAGCTGTCTCAAGACAAAAAGGGGAGTATACACAGGAAAGTAAAGGAACTGCCTTTAGAGAGCAGAGGGAGCAAGTTTTTAAGAGAAGGAGAAGCTGCAGGCAATTGATGTGAGAGAGAAAACAATCCTTTGGTTCCAAAGATGAATTAAAAATAAATAACGATTTTTGGCACCCAAACAGCAAAGAAACTAAAAACCATTTCTTAAAATTATGCATTTGTTTTTTACTGCTGCACAACATCATAACAAACTTAGTGCTTATAACAAGACACTTTTATTTTTATTCATTTATTTATTTATTTATTTTGAGACGGAGTTTCGCTCTTGTTACCCAGGCTGGAGTGCAATGGCGCAATCTCGGCTCACCGCAACTTCCACCTCCTGGGTTCAGGCAATTCTCCTGCCTCAGCCTCCTGAGTAGTTGGGATTACAGGCACACGCCACCATGCCCAGCTAATTTTTTGTATTTTTAGTAGGGACGGGGTTTCACCATGTTGACGAGGATGGTCTTGATCTCTTGACCTTGTGATCCACTCGCCTCGGCCTCCCAAAGTGCTGGGATTACAGGCGTGAGCCACCGTGTGCAGCACAAGACACTTATTATCTCACAATTTCTGTAGGCCAGGAGTATAGGAATGACTTGGCTGGGCCCTCTGCTGCAGGATCTCACAGGGCTTCAAGACAGGTGTCAACCAGGGCTGCCGTCTCATCTGAAGCTCAAGAGGGAAATTATTCCTTTCTCAGCTAATGTGGCTGTTGGCAATATTTCCATTCCTTGTGCTACCACAGTGAAGGCCTTAGTTTCTTGCTAGTTGTTGGCTAGAGATTGCTGTCCCCTTGCCATGTGGCCTTCTCTGCAAGGCAGCTCACAATATGATACCTTGCTGCTTCAAAGCTAGTAAAGGAGAAAATTTGAAAGCCCTGGCAAGACGAGAGGTACAACCTTTTATATTTATTTATTTTGTGACAGTGTTTCACTCTTGTTGCCCAGGCTGGAGTGCAATGGCACGATCACAGCTCTCCACAACCTCTGCCTCCCAGGTTCAAGCAATTCTCCTGCCTCAGCCTCCTAAGTAGCTGGGACTACAGGTGTGTGCCAAATTTTTAGTATTTTTTTTGGTAGAGACGACGTTTCTCCATGTTAGCCAGGATGGTCTTGATCTTGCGATCTCGTGATCTGCCTGCCTTGGCCTCCCAAAATGCTGGGATTACAGGTGTGAGCCACTGCACCCAGACGAGAGGTACAATCTTATGTAAGCACTTTCCTATAATCACATATGTCTTTTCAGTTTTGCCATGTTATGTTCGTTACAGTTCATGAGTCCTGATGATACTCAAGAAGAAAGGTTTACATATAGCATGAATGCCAGGAGACAGAGATTATGGGGCACCATAGAGTCTACTTTCTCAAATTTCTAAAACTTTTTTTCTTTCCAACAATTCAATTACATAAGGGTCATGTTGCCATTTATTCTTGGCCACCAAGAAGCCCAAAGTAAAAATTTTACTCAGCTTTAGTGATGGATATAAGGCCAATTAGTCTGTATATGTGCAGTGAAAATATCCCCCTGATATTGACCTTTCATATAAACAGATGCTTAATGTACTATTATCATTAACATATATTTTTTTCCCATTTATTTTAAAATGTTTCTATAATGTTGTAAACATTCTGTAGCATGAGTTATGGAATAAAGAAGTATACCATAGGGTACTGTTAAAAAAGAGTAGCTCAGCTTTGGAAAGTTATGAAATCACAATGCTGCATCAGCTTTTTTGGTTTTCTCCGTTGGTATTCCTGATAACCCCTACATGAAAACCGGCTTCTACCTCTCACCTTCATGCCACTATGATCACCCTAATTAAAGCACAAATCAAAATTTTCTTTTAATCAACAAAAATTTCCCTTTCTATTTGACTTATAAAAGTGCTCTCCTAACACCTAAGCTAAGAAAATTAATGTCAAAAATATGATGCTATCATGATAGCATTAGTAAGAAAAGTGCTTCGGTTTGTAGTATCTGTGCTATAAATATGTGCATAAAGCAGGAAAGGAAGGGAAATGACACCATTTTAGACAAATATTACTTTGAACTAACCTTCATGATATATGAAGCATTTTAGAAGAATTTAATTTTTACCAATATTAGTATATCATCTTTTAAAGCACCTTTGTGTTAACTTCATCAAGCATATTTTTACCTCTTGTTCTCCATGTGTTTTATTCAAATCATAAGACTAAAACACAAGAATAATTAATATCTTTCAAGTCACCTACAATTTCTCTGTCAACTCTTTTCAGCAGTTTTTCTTTCCTGGTGAATAATAATTTCATGCAAGAAGAAAATGAGAAAAATGCAAAGATATAGTTTCATCCTGTATTTTTCTCACCTTTCTAAAAAAGTGAGTGCACTAATTCTTTTCTGCTATTAACTTTACTCATAGAATTTAATTATACTCCATGACGTTCAGTGTAAGTGAGAACCGTGTTTGATAATGGTGATTACAATCTTCTCTGGGGAGATTAAATTATTCAGTTGTATGGGTTGCTCAACCTCACTTTACACCAAAGGAGGTTAAGGAAGATTAAAATTCTCTCATTTTTGGTAAATGACAGTTTCTTAATAGTCAACAACCCAGTTCCTAAGGCCACATCTTTGCCATGTGATGTAAGCACTCTAATTTATTATAGGGTAAGCTGGTCCAACACTCAGTAGTATGCAGGGAATGTTCTTTAGAGTGTCCCTGTAATTTTAAGAGGGAAGAGTTATGTGGATGATAAATCTAGATTTCTTTTAAAGAGGAAAAAGGACACCACAGTGCTGCCTTAGAGGGCTAGGGACAGTGTGGGGGAAGGAGGGGTGGTCTACAATAAACCAGACCTGCCTGCCTGGGAAAGTTAATCTTGCTGCCTGTACTTCACATGGCACTATTTGTCAGCAGATTGCTTTCTGTACATTATAACTCTCGTATTCAAGAAGAAGAGAATTGGCCAAACCAGTAATATAAATGCATTGTATGCTCTACCCTCCCTCTTTATGATTAATTCTACCAGTGGTACAAATTTGCATGAATGAATGTCAGTGTGTTTTCTGCCCTGAACATTTCCTGCTGGCTTCAGTTCAGCCCTGCTGACATTTATTACAAATAATAGCTAAATATTCCTGATTTAATAGCTGCAGTGGCCCCACATCTGAAGGTGATGTCTGTAATAAAGGCAGACAAGATGAGCTTATAACAAATACTAATCAGATTGTGTTTGCACACATAATGGATAAGCCTCACAGATATACCCACAAAATGTAATGGTTGTTTTTTAAATGCAGCTGCTTGAAGTCACAGTTCAAGAACATATTGGTTGCTTTATTTCCTTTTCATTTCTTTTTTCTCCATCTCCTTAAAGTACTCAAGGCCTCGGCGCACAATCAAGATTGAATATTATCCCCTTTTTTATCTGGAAAAATGGGACACTAAACACAGAAAACTGGCTGTGTCCTTTTATTCATCTTTTGTTGCTCCTTCTAAACAAAGGGCATTGTCCCCTGATAAATTCCATTTGCTGCCTTTTATTCAAAGGTAGTTTACACACCAGCTATGGTGATTCTCACACAATGCGGTTACTGGCAAAGATACAAATAACTTTCAAAGTTCTTTCAACCTGTTGACCCAGGTGTCTCTTCTGAAAGATATAAACTAGGCTCCAACACCTCTTACAATTGACAAAGAGACTATAAAAACTGAGATTACAAAAAGAAGGCACACAGTGCCTACTAAAGGCAGATTTTTAAAGCCTTTGGGAATAAAAGGTTCTTTTCTCTTTATCCTACCCAAACTTCACAGCCTCCATATAAAAATTGAAGAAGGTCAAATTAGCATTGTCTTTACCTTGACATTTAAACACTTAGGAATTTTACTTACCTGGCATTAATTGTTAATAGCTTTATGAAAATATGACTCTTTAAATATTTTTCAAGTTTTCTTTCCAGAGTAGACTGTGCAGAAAATCATAATTAGAGGTGATTACAGACACTGAATTTTTTAAAAATGTTCCATTGAAACTATTTGATTGGCAGACATTCCCTGTGGTGCATAAACTATTTGACACTTGAGAGCAAAAGTCTTAATCACAAATTGTGTTAAAAATCTTTCACAGTATAAACCAAAAAAGAAAAAAACCAAAAAACATAACTTGAAGTTTAAGCATCATGAACTCAGGCAGGGGATAGGACTAGACTATTTTTCTGGATGCCCAACATCATGTCCTACTCACAGACCCAGCTTAGGAGGCCCCAAGTCATAGCTTCTAAGTTGTGCCCTCTTCTCGTCCTCCTCTGATCAGTCCAATGGGCCATAAAGGCAGTGAATAGGAGTCTTAGGGCCACTGGGGCTTTTTCTGAAACTCTGATTACCCGAGTATCCATCAATGGTTTCATGTGACTCAAAATAACAGAAAGATTCGAGATAAAGTATATTATTTTGATATTGAGAAAGAAATATAAACAACCTACTTATCACCTTGCTCGGCATAGTCTCTCAATCAGATTTTGTTTGTTCATAGTGACCTTAAAAATAAGAAGAAAATTAGGTATAATGTGTTAACTTTGACCCAGAATTTCCACAGGAATCATAGATTTAGAAAATGTTAGACCTAGGAAAAAATTGCAGAGATTATTGTCCTTCTACAGATGATGACATTAAGCCCAGGAATTTAAAGTGGCTTGCCAAAAGTCACTTGACATCATGAACTGGGTCATAGTCTTTGTACTCCCTGTCTTAAGCCCTGTAAAAGTGCTTTCTCCATAACACTATTACCCATTCAGATTGTCTTACTTGTTCTCTTCTGGTTCATGACAACAAATCATTGTTACTTGCTTCCTCTCTCCTGAGCTGCAAAGTTTAATCAATAGGTTTCCTAGATTCTCAATCTAGTAGGTGCATTTGGCAAAACATATGGCCCGTGTATTGTTTTGTTTATGTGTTAATATGGTTCAGGATAAACTCAAAGGTGCCATTGGTTTTTAGTATATCCTTTTTCCTATGAATAAGAAGCATTACTCAGAATGAAAAAAAAATGACTTTATATACATTTCTTCATTGCTGATTGTGACCCTTCCATGGCTAATCATTAGCAGTCAGGCATTTGCTTGTTAAACTTTATATCCTTGTACTACTTTTCTCTCACTTTCATCTCTAACAGTTCTGCTCCTTCCAGAAATCTAGTTCATACGCTTAGTACATTGTGTTCAGATTTCCCTGTCTTCCACCACTGGCCTTCACATATATTCAACTTCACCTAAATGTTCATTATGGTTCCAGATGCATCTTATATAAATCTGTTTTAGTATCTGTACCCTCCCTGTTCCCTGGGCTGGAAATACCATTTCCCTAGACTATTTCTGTTTTGTTCAGATATTGTCTCTTCTTTGAACCTTTTCCTAAATACTAACCCATAAGCATTTTCTTTCTGTTCTAAACACCGAATGCTTTTCTTGTCACTTCCATTTTCATAGCATTTACATGGTGGCCTCCTCCCTTTTTAGACAGTTACGTGCACCAGCTGCTCTAGACCATGTATTTTATACTTCATCTTCATACTGCACACCACACAGCACAGGGCCCTACTCTTCATTGGGAAAAAATAATTATAAATAGATAGTTAATGTTTATTACCTAGAAGCCATATATTTTAACCCTTCTCAAAAATCGTTCTTGTATCTTAAAAACAATACATATTTGTAGCTCCATGTTAACTAAAAAGAAGTATAAAGGACTTCAATGTCCTAAAAGCTGTATGAAACAGGAAGAGAAGGCACAGTTAATTTTATACTCCAGCATACACTCTATCTACAGAAGTGGTGTACCTAAAACCAGAAGGTGAAATGAGGGAAGCAGAAATCATAGGCAGGCAACGTAATGACTGACCCAGCCAAGGAACACATGCAGTTGTGGTTTATATCACCGAAAAGTGATGGTGTGGTAGACAGTCATCTAGAGGTACTGCTTTTGTTGAATACACACATCAGGCTCAGCTAGAAGGCCAACACACTATCCATTGCACCACAGAGCTGTACGAACAATGAAGGGAAAGCATAGAAGTGCTTTCTGATCTGAGATACTCTCAGCTGAGAATGGACCAAAAAGGGAACCAACCCCCTACCTCTCCCTTCAAACATTGCTAGCTGGTTCCAAAGAAGCCAGTAGAGCAAGTAGTAAGGAAGGACAAGCCTTCACATCCTTCAAAATCTAGTATCTATAGGCAAGGTCAGAATTCTAGAAAAAAACATTTAAGGCACTGAGATTATTCCAGCAAAAGAATCCAAAAAAATCACACTGTAACAATTTCTAAAGTCTGGGTTATAAAAACCCTGTACCCTGGCAGCAGATCAAATTTCTACAGGCAAATGACAAAGAATGAGACAAGAATATTGCCATTAGACAAAATGAAAAGTTGTGCAATTAGGCTCAAAAGCAAGCTGTGCTGGGCATGGAGTCTGTCTTCATTCTCAGTGTTTTCCTTATTTGCGCATGATAGAAAAGCAGGTACTATAGAAGACACGTTAACTCTTATACCCTGTGTAGAATCAGTTATTACCCTCATATTTAGCCAAGAAACTACCGACTTTGGCTGTAAATAATGCACAGGACTTTCTAAGAGGCAACTCACCTTCCTATAAAGCAGCATCCAAACGCATGCTTCTCAAACTTTAGTTTGCTTGTGAATCCCCAGGAGATATAATTACATTCCTAATTCTGATTAGTAGGGCTAAAAGGAACCTCAAATTCTGCACTTCTGGCAAGCACCCATGCTACATGCTGGTTCGTAGGCCAAAATTTCAGTAAGGAGGCCCTAAATAACCTAAACTGGAGCCTAGCATATAGAACAGTCATATTTTAAAATCACAGCCTAACATTTAAATTAAGTAATATACATCTGTTTTATACATACTGTATAATGTAAATGTTATATTTTCTGTAACAGCATGTTATATTACTTCAGATCTCAGACTACACATTATTACATTTCCTTGCCACCACATAACAAAAAATTTTGACTTGTTTTCCTTATTTATCTCTTGCCTCTGTCTGCTTATATTTTTCTTAATAGATTCCAAATGAGAAACGTTCACTTCACAGATTTTAATTACCTGAATTCTTTTTTTCTTATTGATTACCAAAAACAAAGTGGTATTTTGTGTTAATCTTTCAAAATGCCCAATTTAATTTATGAATACAGTATTTTTTCAGCTCAGTGTGTATAGATGATGCATATTGTTTCATACTGCCTTCAAGAAAAGACCATTTTAATTTTAAATGCCCTACAGAGATATGCCTGGGATGGTGAATTTCGAGAATTCATGAACAAAACTGCCCAAAAATTTGTTGGAAGAGCTCATGGCATCTACAAAGCAATTGTATCTGCAATAGCTGAGGCATTCTCTCAACTGCTGGGAAAATTTATTTTGACATAATATTAGGATTTGATTAGTTAAGCAATATTTCAGACTAACTCCCTTTATTTTGTAACTTTTTTCCCTTTTGCTACAGAGTCTCACTCTTGTCACACAGGCTGCTGTGCCATGGCACGATCTCACCTCACTGCAACCTCCACCTCCCAGGTTCAAGTGATTCTCCTGCCTCAGCCTCCCTAGTAACTGCAACTATAGGTTCATGCTACCACGTCCGGCTAATTCTTTGTACTTTTAGTAGAGATGGGTTTTCACTGTGTTAGCCAGGATGGTCTCAATCTCCTGACCTCATGACCTCCCTGCCTCAGCCTATTTTGTAGCTTTGAAAACAAAAGCCTGATATTTTAGATTCCTACAACTGGACTAAACATTGGCATTAGTCCTGGAAACATCTCAGTAGGAGAAAGAAGGCTGCCAGTAGTGAGGTCATTCTGAGGCATTTGAATTCAGGGCTTCCATTATTCCAAACGTGGTGGCTATTCTGGGAAGCATCAAGGTCACACAACCAACGCTGCTTGATTGCAGTCACTTCTCTGATGCCTTCAGCAAGTGTTTGCTCCTTTTGCATTTTCTGGGCTTTGAAATTCACACAGCAACTCTATCCCCCCAACCCAATCAGAAGGCTTTCAAGCAAGCCATTCTGCAAAACACCAAATCAGGGGGAAAAGAAGCTAAATCAAACTCAAATAAAAAGCAGTGATAGAAGGCTTCAACAAAGTCCACACAGGGAATCAAGCCTGCTTTTAAACAAAAATATTGACATAGCAATTTAAAATAAATACCAGCTTCATATGCTGAACACTTTATTATTGGCTCACAGGACTGCAAATGTAAGGAACATATTCTTCTCTGAAACATTGCCAAAGGCAAACCTCTTAAAAGCCAAACATTGTGACATGTTCTTAAGTAGCTTGCCATCATGTCGATTGTTGCATTTGGTATAACATAACGCCTGCACGTTCATTAAGCCTACATTTTGCAATTAAGGTACATATGTTTTACTTCTCCAAATGTCTGAAAGCCAGGTGGAACAAGTCAATTGCTCTGGTGACATTGAGCATTTCTACAACAATGCTGAATTCTAGCTTAGTATTTTGCATAGTCTCCTTATTATATAGGAAAATGAAATTGCCAATATGTCCTTTTGTGTAAAGCTGTAAAAGCTCAGAAGATCTTAGCAAATACTGGCTATGTCACTGCTAAGGTACATGAAGCAGATGCCTACAATTAGCCTGTTAAAAAGTTTCATTGTAAAAGACCCTACAAATAAAGCACTGCTGCCGGTAATTGTACATTAATTGGCTTCATTTCTCTCTGAAGGTCTAGCAGAGTACAGCCCTATGATTTGCTGCCTACCAAAGCATACTATGCTAAAAATATTGGAAAGGGAGGTCCTCATTCTTTTGCTCTTTCTTGTCTTTAAGTGAAATGCCTAGAGAAGTAACTCTGGTAGATTCTATGCTGATAATATTTCTTCAGATTTTTAAAAAGCAAAATAAAAATGATTGTATTATAACTTAGGATGGGTAATACCTGACAACAAAAACCAAGTAAAAGCCTGACCCACAGCTAAAATGGTAAGTTTCAGTTCATTGAAAATGATAACGTGAGCACTTGAGCAACTAAAATGTTAGATGTCAAGTGTCTAAACAAAATATGGGTTTTACAAATAGATCCCAGCAAGGCTAGAGTTGTGTGACCTCTTCCAATCTATCTCTCTAGGTAGAGCACAGTATAACTCTCATGGTAATGTCAGAAAGAGCTAATAAGCTGAAAGCTACATCTCAGGTGAAAGGGCAATGGGAAGTCAAAACAAGGATTGATTCAAAATCGCTTGCCCTGTGTCGACTGGACAGGAGTTTGGGAAGATTGCTTAAGTGCAAAAGCTCTTTCTGATATTTCTGACAGTTAAAGTACCCTAAATTGGAATGCAATCCTGTATAACAGAATCAGGAAGAAAACAATTGCAGGGTAATGTTGATGGTTATGGGGGTGGTTAGACTTTGCTATAAATGCCTAGGCAACTTAGTGAAGAATTTTTTTACAGACTTTGAAAACATTAGATAAACATGATGTATGAAGTCTTCCGTGTTTAA